CACGACTCAATTCTTACTCGTCCACCATACTCAACCTAAAAGGCTTTAGTCCTGGTGATCTTTTTGTTTGTTAAGGGGTTTCACCCGGACTTTTATTGAATGGCCATTTAACAAAGGTACTGAGTATTTAATTGAGGTTGGTTGGCTGGAGGTTGGGCTTTGCATGGTTAAAGCGAGGGGTATGAGTATAGGAACTGGTTGGAGTTGACTCCGCGTAGTGCATGGACTCTTGTCTGACTTTTGATGTGATTGAAGGTATGTTCAAAGACTTGGGGTTTGGTTGGGCTGCCTTGCGGTCACATATATATGTATGGCTAGGAGGAGACGCACTATGACTGTGAGAAGTGATCGTTACATAATTATTCCCCTTGTGCATATGTGTGTGTCAGTGCATGTGTACCTACGTGTGGAACTAGCATGGCCTGAAGTGCCCGCGTACTAAGGGTCAGTCGAAGATTGAGGTAAATAGAAGGGAGCGGATACCCCTCGCCAACTCTCGTTTATTTTCCTTGTTGAGATTTATCTTGGTGGTGATGCGTCAGACAACTCACCACCGCTTCAGACTCCCTCCTGCCTTAGGGGTCATCTTGCCCTGCACCCGTTGGGACACCTCAGGGTGCAGAAGACGGAAAGACCCTCAGGCCGGTTTTGCGCGCGCTAAAGGGTTACCCTCATTGGCTCGCGCTTCAGCCAACGCCTGAGCGTCGAAAGGGGACCCCTTGGCTCAGAGTAGGCCATTTGGGTGTGGGCATTACACAATGCGTCGTCATCGCGGCTACTCGCGTAGAGCTGCATAGCGAGATAGTATGTGTAAGTCCAGTGCCCTCGCGATCTTATACTGAGTTCGCGCGCGGCACACGTCGCATCCCGCACTAAAAGAGTTATGGGTCAGGCGGCGAGATCACGAGCGCGACACGACCAGTAAACTTGGGGTCCTGGTAACGTGAAACGGCACGCGGGCGCAGGACTAGCCCCGATCAGCCTTTGGGAGTCCATGTACGGCTCTCATTATCCCGAACGCCGGGTAGCCTATAGGTAGGATACAGAACCTCCTCCGCACGCGCGTCGTTTGGGCTTATCCACCCCCTTTCCATTTTAGAGGGCCATCAGCTAATGGGGGTTGGAGTGAGTCTCCTTTTTGCGTTTTCATGGTTGGACGTTATACTCCGTGGCGGCCGTCAAAGTCAAACCCCTTGATGTTCGACCGCCACGACAGTTTGAAGCTGTCTACTCAACCCCTCTGCACAGGGTGCAGAAGAGGGTGTGGTCTCCAACCGCGCACGACGGTTGTCTAGCGTCGAGAGATTAACCCTCAAGGCGTGTGTCAGCCGACACTTGAGTGTCGAATGCGACCCTCGAAATTAACGAGGGCCGCACGATTATGAACGCGACATAGTACGCCATCATTGCGACTGCTTGCATACGTTTGCATTGCGAGTCGATATGAGTTAGCCCTGCGTCCGCGCGGTTTTATACTAAGTCTCGCGCGAGACGCCTATCCGATTTCCGCATTGGAAAGTTATAGGTTGGCTACCGAGGGACTATTAGCGTTGTCACGTTGTTTGCGTTGTGTCGTTTGTGCAATGTGTGCGTGCGCGTATGTTTTGTTTTTGTGTTCGTAGAGTGGTGTGCGCGTGGTGTGTGGGATGCGCCCTAGTCGACTGACGTCGAGCCACGCTTGGGACTTCAGCCCCCCAAGATGTCAGCCCGCGTGCGGGTCCGATAGGCGTATTACCGCGCGTACCCCCTATGCTACAGCGAACGAGAAACGCCCTCGGCTGGTCCACCTCTGCGATTGCAACCGAGTAGCTTTCGTACTGTGGACTAGTAGCTCGGCGGGGATACGCCCACCGAAGGGAGGTGACAACTCCCGTAAGGTGGAGGTAAGTTGTGCCTCTCGTAGGCCCTATCCTGTCGTAGGGGCTCGCGAGAGGTATGGCTGGCGCACTCAGCCGGAGCGGCCTAAGGACGCTCCATTTGTGTGTTCGCGACGAGGTTGGTCCAACTCCTGCGTGACGCGGCCAAGAGGGTCCCGCGCTGCCACGTGTGGTGCCGGACCGATGCGCTCGACAACGGGAGGCCCTCATTTCGTGCCAGAGGTTTTCCCCAGAGTCGAGCTGTCGCCACGAAGTCCCATGGGGGTCGGATCACTCCGAGACGATAAAATCAAAAAGGTTTTCGCAAAAACGAACTGCCGTCGTGCATCAGGACGAGAAAAGGCATAAAGGAGGGGGGGGGGCATGGCGGCGGAAGACAAAACTTCGGCCGTCAGGGGTTTGGGAGATAGGTGGTGGGTTCGAAGCCTTCGGGCCTCATCCTCGGTTCTCACGAAGTGGCCGAACCCTCGGGTCTTTGCTGTAGAGGTGGTTGGTTCGAGGCCGTCAAGCCTCGGCGTCGGACTCACAGAGTCCGCGCGAAAGTTTCCGGGAGGATAGCGTGGCGGGAGGACTCGTCGACATCCGAATTCGAAATTGCGCGGGCAGCGTCCCCACACTACGGGAAAGCTCGGGGAAACGTGTCGCTCCCTCGTAACCCAGGACCAGCCGTCGCCAAGAAAACGAGTCCGACACCAGCGACAATCAAACTGCGGCCGCCATGCGGCGTGAGCGGCCGACCGGGGCAACACCGTTAAACCTGTGTAAGGCAATATTAGAGTCGGGGAATCAAAACGATCAATCAGGACAAACCCGTTCCCCCTTATATCACACGCCCGAGGCGGGTCTTGCCAACACACTTGCTCCGTCCGCCTCAGCGCGCGCTGTACGTCCGCATCGCAGTAGTCGCTGTCGTCATCTGTGATGGGGAAGGTCGGTAGCGAGATGAGACGGTCGGAGGTACGCGATGAACACGGGCAAGATCTCGCGTTCCCGGTCATCCGAACCAACAACGAATCCATACAACAATTGACGCAATTCTTCTCTCTCAAAAGTGGGTGCGTCGAGAGAAGATGATGAACTTTAAGCTTTCTCCCCTTGCGGGGGCGTCGACCGTCCTCGCGGACGCAGGCGGTTGACGTCACCGGTACGGGGAGAAGAAGCTCCAAGAGCGATGACTATCAGTTCAAAAAGGAAGGCGAGCGAGCGAGAGAGAGAGAGAG